TAATGTTCTGTAAATCCAACAGTCAAATTCTTCCTTCCCCTAAGAAGAAAAGAAAAAAAAAGAAGGAAAAACCCCCCATCTACTATTCAAGCAAGTCTAGTGGGAAATTACAGATTCCTCTCTTTGAGCMCGAGGTAGCTACCAGCCAACAGCCCCATCCCACAAGGACTCAATGACTTCAAAGGATGCTTGTAGAAAAAGACTCCAAATTAAGGCCAGTGTTGGAGACAGGAGAATTCAAAGTGGCTGAAACAAACCTTCAGCCCAGACCACAAGCAATTTATTGTGCATCCACCTTTTCAGCGGCAGCATACCGTACGAGCCCCAGCGAATTCAAACACACCACACGATTCAGGTGTGATCAACAATCATTATACCCAGCTCCCARCCACCGGCTGAGTGTTCCACAGCCAGCGTGCTGCAGTCCAGACACGTGGATTAGCAGTTGGTCACGGCTAACCGGGTATAAATGAGCACTCATCAGAACAGGCAGCCCCAGTTAATAGCTGAATGATAACAGGACCCCCAGGGTACYGAGGACATCCTTTCGCAGGCTGCGCCACAGCTTTTGGCTTTGTAGTTCAGCCAGACACAGAGGCAAGATTAGCGCCTCATAAAGCAGGGATGAAATCCCATCCGAACTTTATTGCCAGGATGATGCCAGCGTCAGAGCCAGCTCCCTTACAGAAGGTGACATTTACACGCACGCACAGCAGCACAAAACTTTATGACATCAATAGAGTGCTGCAGTGTAGAAGCAAGTCAACCCTAGAATAATCCTACAGTTTATAGCTGCTACACATTTCAACCGGGCAGATGGAAGGGATACCACAAAGCAAACGTGTCAGGTAAAGCAGCTAAAAGCATAATTTACAAACTAGAACCCACAACCCAAAATCTCAGCAGCAGTCACTTAGAGCTCTTCAGAGCTGCACAGATTTCAGCCAGCTACAGGTCCGACCCAAGGCATTYACCCGACACAACCACAGTCTTTGGTACAGAAGCAGATTCTTTACTAACCCTGAACAAGTTTAAAGCAGCAGGTCCTCCCTGGAGGACGCAACCCTGCAGAAGTCAGTTCAGCAGCTGTGGAGCCATTTCCAAGAACRCAATGCTGGTTTTACAGGTCCTAGTCTGCCTGCCTGAAAGAGCAGAAGATCCTTTAATCCACAAGCAAGGACAGCACAACTGGCAGCAAACAGAGCACCTGCTGCAGCACCTTGGCTCAGCCTCTGTGCTGCCAGGCATGGGCTCACTCCTGTCCCTGGCTACTCTGAAGAGGARCTGAGAGAAAGGCCCAAAGCAGCCGTGATAATTATGACTTGCACACCGGCATCCTGGGAACTGGGAGCAGGGARCACATTACTCCTAGGCTGTATTTTAAATGCAGGGAAAAGCCAGTACAGAGGAAATTAACTGGAGGTTAGGCTCTTTGCTCACAAGACACAGACAATATATCAGTTGTTCACATACCTGATCAAATAGGGCTTTCCAGTGCTGAGAGGCAATGCATAAGGGAGGAAAAAGAATAAAAAGAAGGTATAAGAGCAACGACATTAACATGCAGTAAAGTGTAGAAATATAWTCTAATAGAGAAATAACCAAATGATTTAATGCCATTTCCAACATCCTTCTTCATCCCGGAATCGCCTACCCTTCCGGAGGAGGAGGCAGGGGAATCTACCAAACACAGGGAGGACAGTTTTCATTTACAAATCCAAATTAGGATGAACTCAAAACATTCACGTGTTAATTCTGTTCTCTCCCACTTTGTCTACTTGCAGGCAAGCAAGCAAAAAAAGGGTTTTTTACTCACAGGGATCAAGAAAGCTCTGTATATATTGAGGGAAGGGCGAATTAGCAATGTTTTTCCAGATCACTTTCTGAGATCGTGCGGCCCGACACTGACCCATCACTTGCCTTGCTGGGTTGTCTTTCTCCTGCCTGCTCCTGACTCTGGCTTGCTGCAGCCTCTTCGATAACCCATCAGCTCTCCAACTCTCACTTGTCCACCATCTGAAATTGGTAATTCCTCTTGTGCAAAGTGGAAGGGTGGAAGGCTGGAAAGAGCCTATTGCAAGGATTTACCCCACATCTTTTGTACCAGTGGATCTGCCTTTAAAATGCTGTATRGGAGGAAGCTCTACTTCAATGCTCACAAACAAGTGAACACTGCACAAGTCCTTGTCTCTTGGAAACAGAAAAAATAAACTGGCAACTGGCTCTGATTTGTGCTTTGTAAGAGAGACTGATGTCAACTCACCTCCCTGACCCAGACTTGCTGTCTCACTGTCCCACAGAACAGAGGAAATTCCTAATGAATTGTTTAAGGCTCTCATCTATCCTGGATTTAGGGGCCAGTTGAGAAGACAGCAACTTCCATGGGCAGCACTGGGGTAACCACTGGCTTGGGATCCCCAGAAAAAACCTTGCACGTTTCCTGCTCAGTTGTCTGAAGCGCTGTTCAGCACAACATCTTGTTTCTGCCTCATTCACCTTCCCAGAAAAAAACAAATTGAGTAAAACAAACATCAGACTCTTAGAAGCAAAACTCCTCACAGTGCCATTAGCAAAGCAGAAATCTGGTGAGGGTCTCATCTRGTCCTGGAAGAGCATTTTGTTTCACATGATAGGCAAATCTAAAGCAGAATTCACAGAAGAGACAGGGGGGTATCAGGCCACTAAATTCCTTTTCATTAGTTAAGTTGTTGGCTCCCCTCCTCCCCATGTCTCTCTCCATTTATAAGCTCCCATTTATCATCATAAATCAGCCCAGCACTTTAAACACAACACTTTGGGACTGAATCCTGGCTTTGTGGAATGCTGCTCTGAGAGCTGCAATGACATCACAGCTGAGCTGTTACACACCGTCAAGGCTGTGACAGCCAAACCTCCACTACGTTATATTTTTGTGGTTAATAGCRCATAAAGAACTGACCTTGTGTCAGTTCTTGCTGGCCAAGCCAGAGAACTTCCATCAAGCTTTCAGATGTAATAATAACCACAATACAAAATCAACCCCCAGTTAGGTCTCAGGGGGGCACAGAGTAGCACAGAGCAGTTGAAATTTTCAGAGATGATGCTCTGTAGCCTGCTTGTTTCAGCARGAAATCTTGGCGGAGGAGAAGGAGGGCATTTTCACCACTTCCTGCTCTTCTGACTTGCAGATGACACATGATACCTCAGGCTTCTGTCAYATCATCTATTGCCAGGTCTCAGCAGCTTCCCAAAACCAGTGCAGCTGCAGGCTTTAGTTTTGTTGATTATAGAAAACAAGGTACCAGAGTCAAATAACAATGCAAGTAATGGCGAGACACTGTGAGCTGGATCTGACCCAAGCTGTCCTACCTCAAGGTCAAGCAGCAAGGCAGCAGTGGAACTGGGATGAGAATCTAGACTTCAGCAGGGACAACTGTCCCTGGAGCCCAATCCTGCCAGGCACATAGCACTTCAGCATCTTCTGGGCCTGCTGGCAGGATTGAATTACTAATGGCTGCATTCGTGTAGGGCTGGAGTAACTCCAAGGGCCTGTGTGTATCACAACAGGAAATTATTCTTGTAGGACCATCCAGACAAGCACAAAATTTGTCAGAGAAGAAAAGGTCACAGTCTGACGTAAGCAAGCACTGGAATTTGGAAACCTGGACTGTGAAAGCTCCTGGAAAGCCACCCTTTCCAAGTCAAAGCTACGCATGGCCCTGAGTCAGGCATCTCCTCTTAGGACTGTCTGGCAGTGCTGTAGCAGAGGTCAGACTGCATCACACGCTTCCTCCTGACTGCACTGTGCTCAGGAATACAGACTGGGGAATGCAGCTCTAGCAAGCAACTGCACTTCCTCCGCTATCCTCTGGGAGGAAAATCCAACAGCAACCGAATTTTAGGTGATTCACAAGGAAGGGCTGGGGGCTGAAGAGCAGGCTCTGTCCCTAAGCATGCCCGGGCGGCTTCCTCCAGCAGCGTCAAAAAGGTAGAGAGAGGGCCGAGGGGATGCGCCATTGCTGGAGGCACAGCTCCCAAGTGTCCCTTTCGTAGCGGTGCAAGACCCGATCCAGAGCCCGCTTCAGAAAGACATCTCTGCTTTATGTCTCACAGGCAGGAACAGATCCCGCACTTAGCGCTGCAGACTGAGCAGACACTTTGCAGTCCTCATCCCAGCCGAGTTTGCTGGGAAGGAGAGCTGTGAGCAGTCCTGGGATGCACCAGGAATGCAGGTTCTCTCACGTTCAATCCCTCCCAGACAGGTGCACAGCGAGCTCCTGCCTCCGGGTCCGGCAGACGCAGAACAACTGCCTCAGCTCTGCAGGCACTGCCGCTCAGCATGGCAGGAGCACATTYGGAGCGCACAGGACCGCTTCGCGTCCTTCTGAGCTGGATGAGCAGAGACCCGGTGCCAAGTTATCCCACCCTCACGTGCCATCRGAGCTCGGAGGGTGGAGAGAAGCCATCAGCCCTGTCGAGCCGAGGAGAAAACTTACTCGGCTGTTTGTTGCTCGGGGGCTGGAAGGGGGAGCAGCTCCCGAGAGCGGGAGCTTTTCACATCTGTCACCCTCCGGTGGCTGTGGCTCTGGAGAAGCTCTCTGTCCCCTGGAAGCCCCTCTAGCCAAGGCGTCAGCCTCTCTCCAGCCTCAGAGTCGCGTCCGTGCGCAGTCCGCTGCCCCTGCCCGGCCAGCCGCAACCCGCCGGCATCTCCCCGCCGGACGCGGGCACGCAGCGAACCGGGAGCCTGTCCGGGCCGCCGGTGCTTCCCAAACCGGGGCTGAGAGGGACAGGAGCTGCGGCCCAGGGGACGGAGCCAGCCCGGCGGCTGCCGGATCCCGCAGACATCCAGCGGCGGGGAGCGCGGAGGGCGGCGGGAGGGCGGCGGGGACGGCGGCTTTCCCTCGCCCCGCAGGGTCACCGGCCCCGCTCCTGTCCCCACCCCGGGCTTCAGCTATGAATAGCTTGAGCCGATTAACCCGGCCCGGGGGACAGGGGAAAGATACCGAGCAAAGGAAACTTACATCCTCTGCGGCCATAGGTAGGACATCCTCCGAGTCCAGCACCTCGATTTCTTCCGCCTCCGAGCTGGCAGCCACAGCAGGGGAAGAGCTGGCGTGAGGCTCCGGCAGCCTGTCTCCCATGCTTGGAAACGGTCCCCCTCCAGCCCCCGCCCCCCCTTCTCCCCAGATCCTTAAAGAAATTAAACCTAGCTGCTGCTTGGCAAACTTTCAAGCGCAGCCGAGCCTGCCTTCATGACTCCCGCAGCCGGGAGGGGAGGAAATCCTCCATCCAGGGAACATCCAATTAGCGCGGGCAGCGCCGGCGGGCGGCATCCCGGCGGCCGAGCTCCGGCCGGGGCAGTGACCCCTCCCCGCCTCCCGCCCCTGCGGCCGGGCGGTGCCCCCGGCCCGGGCATAGCCGGCGCCTCCCCCGAGCCATCGCCCGGGGATGGGGGTCCGCCCTTCCCGGCGCGGGGGAGCCCCGAGGGCTCTCGGAGACAGCGACCGGAGCTGCGGCACGTCCGAGGATGCGGGCTGGGCGGCAGCGGGGGGAGCAGCGCCGGGTGGCCCCTGCCCACGGCCGGCACCGCCTCCCACGGGGCGACCCGCGGAGGTTCGGCCGTGGCCGGCACGGGGCAGCCCCTGCGGCGGGGCCGGGCCGGTTCCAGCCCTGCCCTCCTGCCCGCGGACAGGTGACCAGACGTGCCGGTTCATCGGGACACTCTGCTGGCAACTTCTCCGTCCCACAGTCTCACCGTGAAGGGCTSGTGTGGGGTTTTACATCTTTTACCATAATTACTTGTTCCTATATGTCAGGATGGGCAACTTAACCATCTGGAGCCTGGATTAGGAACTTGAGGAATGCCTTGACTGCCGGCAAAAATCCAGCAGTTTTAGCTTCTTCCAATCAAGTACAGAAATAGCAGGTTGGCAAGGGGGAAGGGCAAGCAGAGCCAGGCTCATCCACATGGTGCCAGTGCCTCTGCTTTCTGCTAAAAGCCAGAGCACAGAGTCGGGGCACAGTCCAGCAYCACAGGCCAAGTTTTCTTGATGCAGAGGTCCACTACCAGATCAGACACACCTCAGTCACAAGTACAGAACCAAGCTGGAAGTCCCTCTTCTCTACAGTTTGTTTAAAACCCGACCAACTACAACAATAAAAATAAAACAAATCCAGCTAGAATATCTCTGGAAAAGGAGCAGGATCTTCCATCCTGCTGTAGCAGAGCATACAGCACAGAAGTAAAACCAGGACGCTTGGACCTGAACAGCAGAACTTTTTCTAGCTCAGGATTCAGGTAGGAAGATGACAACAAAATAAACGCTTTTCTGGGGTCTTTAGTGCAACTGATGTACAGGAGGGCTTCTGTCCCCTTAAAGACATCAGTGAAACAGCAGAGTTTCTGCACATTTAAAGGCAATTCCTTGAGCCATTTCTTGCTGGTCTAGAGCCTGTCCAGCCTGCTGTCCTGAAGCATGAGAACAGGATGCCAAATCCAGCACTTATGGGAACCACTAACCCACTTCACTCATACAACACCACTCCTGCCAAAATATGCCAGGCACTAAACAGTGATTATAAMAACAATCTCTTTTTGATTGAAAAACTAAACCTCATCAAAACTTCAAAACAGATGGATAAGCAAAAATATGCTATGCCAACAGAAAGAAACAGCAGTCATTTAAAGATGTCTGTAGGGAGGAGGGAAGMAAGTTTTTAAAGTAAAGAGAGAATAAATGAGCTGAATTTCAGGGGTAACAGGTTCCACGCAGTTGGGGACTGTATCATCTCTGATTCCAGATACTAGTGAGAAAATGCCAACTGTGAAGTCTAACATGAATGCAATCTACAGCAGGGAGAATCCCCAAAACCCCTTACCTTAACACCAAACTCCCACTAAACTGGGAAATTGCTGCAGAATTACAAGTTCATTTTTCTCCTCTAAGGACTGTTTTTCACTAGTGGTAATGATAGGGGTTTTTTTTTTTCAGGGAAATATCTCTGCACATTGCACATATGAGCTAGTCTGTGCTATAATTGTCACAGAAAGGAAATTAACAGTATTCTAATGAGGAGTTTTGTTACAGACAAATTATCATCTTGCAAGTGTGTGAGAGTCTCTTAATTTAGAATGTCATTTCTCCCCACTGCGTACCCTGGTGACTCTACCTTGGAAGACAGTAATTGCTAGAGAAKCTGGGGAGCTGTGGGCCACCCCAGRGCAGATGCAGACAGAATATGGAAGGGTTTCAGAAGAAATGCAGACAGAAAGGACTTGAGACAATAAGCCCTGATCCATTTTCACATTCAGTCATGTAGGCAACTTTTATATTCCAAACACTACAAACAAAATGTAGATACATGTCCTCCCTACATTGGAAGTGGCTCAAAAGGTCAGCTCATGAATATGCAATAAACCCCCCCAAAGTAGRGACCCAGCCAACATCTGTTAGCTAAGCCCTCTGGAACAAATCTAAACAGTTTGTTCACAGGTCCTTTCTACACCCAAAGCAGCCCCAAAAGGCTTTTACAAAACTTCGAAATTCTCTGACTTCTCTGACAATTGGAACTATGTGGAGYAACCTACCCAGCAGGAATAAATGGAGTCTGATTGTGGAAAATACAACGAAAGAGGTCGTTAGAAAGCTGACAACACCAGAGGGGGAAAAAAAGCCAAACAGCACTGTGGAGAGTAAGTGGCGTGAGGTGCCGCTCTCTTCTATTAACAGCAATAGCTCAAATTTTTGGACTTTCATTATGTACTCCATGAGAAGATGACTTTCCCCTCACGGTGACTCCAATCCTCACAGGATCCAGGAGGGCTTGGCCCGTGGCACAGGGACATCGTGACTTTTAACTGGTGGCACCGGGGCTCCCTCAGAGAACACCGACCACCCATGGGACAGGGCCACGGCAGAGCTGGAGACTTGTGCGCTCTTCTCCAAGAAAATTCCTCTCCCCAAATCTCTGTGGAAGGCTGTGTCCACAGCTGTGGAAGGCCTGTTTTATACAAGCAGACGGTGACCCGCTCCCTCACCTGCGCAGGGCGGCCCGGGCCGTGAGGGCGGGCGAGCAGCGCCTCAGGGAAGGAGCGCTTCCCTCAGAGGGGGCGGCAGAACCCTCTCTCCGCCGGGCCCGGGCTGCGGGGTCCGTTCCACACGGGAACTCTCGCTCTCTTGGGATCGGACTGACGGGGCCGTTCCACACGGGAACTCTCGCTCTCTTGGGATCGGACTGACGGGTCCGTTCCATACGGGAACTCTCGCTCTCTTGGGATCGGACTGACGGGGCCGTTCCATACGGGAACTCTCGCTCTCTTGGGATCGGACTGACGGGGCCGTTCCACACGGGAACTCCCGCTTCGGGCCGGGCTGACGGGCCGTTCTACACGGGAACTCCTGCCGGTCCCGGGCTGCCGGGGCCGTTCCATGCAGGCACACCCGCCGGTCCCGGGCTGCCGGGGCCGTTCCATGCAGGCACACCCGCCGGTCCCGGGCTGCCGGGGCCGTTCCATGCAGGCACACCCGCCGGTCCCGGGCTGCCGGGGCCGTTCCATGCAGGCACACCCGCCGCTCCCGGGGTCGTTTCCCGCTCCCGCCGCTGCCGGGCTCAGCGCGGCCCCGTGGGCTCGGCGGCAGCGCCCTCTGGCGGCCGCTCCCGGGGGTCTCTCGGGGGATTCCCTCGGGAGCATCCCAGSACCCCTCTCAGCTCCCGGGAACGCCGCACTGCTGGAGCTTGTTTAATCAACACGAAAATATTCACCTCTTCACTGCGCATAACTTCCTAAATCCCACCGAACTATCTGGTTTTTTTTCGCCCACTCTTTGTCTTTGACAGTAGGTACGAAGTTCGTGGTTGACTATTGGCACTTCAGCTTTAAGRTATCACAGAAGGCACTTTCAGTCTTCTGATATTAATCAGAAATAAATTCCTCCTGGAAGCAGTGCAGTCCTAAGAGGCATCAGAGAAACTGCACTACTAAGACATGTATCTTCCAACAAATGAGGGCACCAACAGCATGCTTTCACGTAAGGTACAACATTCTGTTAAATTCCACCTTTCAGTGCACAGGAAGGGAAAGAAAAAAGAATAAAAAAGATAGACACAGTACACAGTTATTTTATTGAAATACTCGAAAAGGCCAGCAATGGAAAAATAGGTTTGTCATGAGGAATTTAATGTTTGGTTTACTTGATCGTTAAAAAAGCTGTGTCTATAGGTAATTCTAGCCTGTTACAGAATGCACTGTGATCCATGCAACTAATATACTACAGTAGAATAGGCACTGTGTACTATTGTAGTTTTGTCTGATACACAGCTTTCAATGGGTATGATTGACAGATGTGAGAAATTAAACTGCAACACTTTCCAAATTAGAAATGTTTACAATATACAAATTTGCTCGTCTGATTGATGAGGGCTGTAAAACACAACATAGTGGAAAATGAAAAACAAGGGTTATACAAAGCAGATTAAGTTGGTCTGGTAGTTTTGGAAGTTTTACTTTTTTCCTTTTAAAAGAAAGACCAGACTATAAATATGTCACTGGTCATGTAAAATACAAAATCATAGGCCAGGACAGCAAAGGTGACTCCTTCCTGAAATACATGATTAGAGGGGCAAATTTGTTCATCAGTTAAAAATGTGAATGAAAATCACAAATTCTGCCTGGTATAGCTTATCGTCCAAAAAGCTGAAGTCACTTCAGATGACTGTGAAATAAATAAGTAATACTTGAGGAAGTATGGATCCTTGAGTTGAATCTACTCTACTGAAAATTAATTTCACCTATACACTAGAATGTCACCATGGTGAACATCTAAGAACAGTATTTTGAATAGGTTTTTGGGAAGCAATGTCTTACTTGCTTTAATATGTACAGGTTATTTACAACAAATTCCCTTTTGGCCTCACAAGTTAAGCCATTTTAGCTGGCTGTTAAGATGCAATTCCTTTTTTTTCCACACATTATGCAATACTGTAGTTAGAGCTATAATTTAAAATAATCTTATGCATGAATTACAAATATTAATAAAGTAACTCTGCATATATAAATATTTCTAGCAGAATTTAAAGCATTCAGAATGTACATAAAAGTGGGGTTTTATTTATTATTTGGTAGGGCCAGATGTGCTTCTTCTCAGATCATCGCTGCTTTAGTAG